ATGGTATTCACTTGTTGTAGGGTGTTTTTTGTGAATTATATTGAGTTCGCTTTTATGTAGTTCACAAGATGCTTGTGACCTTGTGTCAGATTAGGACTTTGAAAGGCTAAATGTGATTAGGTTTATAATTAACATTTTATTAATGACTTTCAGGCTTCTAGTTTGGAAAATGAGTCATATGATTTGTTATTAGAAATAGATTATCAAATAGTTGATTCAGATGATGATAGCTCTACTATCAATTTGGAAAATAAAAATGAAACAAGGTATGTAAACTTATATGATATTGGCTTATATCTGTGTGTCTATGAATAATACTAATTTGCTTTATATAGTTTACATAATGATGAAAAATCACATGAAGGCATCTTGCAATTATACGTTGATCGTGTATTTAATGCATGGGAGGAAGTAGATAAATTCTTAAAATTATTTGGTAAGTATAAAAGGTTTTCTTTTAGACGAATTTCACTCAAACTATTTAAGTATCTGTTGTCATAGTTACAAATGCTCATATTCATGTATGTATAAGGCTAAAAAAGCAGTTAATAGTACCAAGCAGCGTGAAAGGTTTTCAGCACAAATAGAATGTAAATGGCACATTAATTTTAATAATCATAAGGGAACTAAGGAGATAATTTGTATCTCTCTTTCTGATAAACACAATCACAAAATAAATCCTTTAATTGCTCAAACAGCACCACATTTTCATAAATTGTCAAAAAAGATAATTGAAAATATAAAGTTTTATACATGTTTTACAGAGGGTATAGGTGCTACTTTGCAGTATAATCTTTTGAAAGCAAAGTATCTTGACAAATATATTGACAAAAAAGATATATATAATGCCATTCAACAATTCCAGGTGCCATCTTGTGAAAACTTAGAAACTGATGCTGCAAAGACTCTAAAAAGGTTATTGGCATTAAAAACAGAAGATTCTGATTGGATAGTAGTACCTAAAATTAAAGGCAAGAAAAATAGATTGACTGCTCTTTTTTGGATATTACTATTACAGGTTTTACTATAAACTCAATTTCATGACATTGTATTGACCAATAATACCTGTAAAACCAATCGCTATGAAATGGCGTTGTGTTTTTTTTTAATAATTGATAATGACACTCGTTCACATATTGTTGTGTAGGCATTATTAGAAAATAAAACGCAAGCTTCTTTTGAATAGGTTTTAGAACAATTAATTAGTGCGACGAATAATATCATTTCTAAAACTATATATTCGGATGCTGACCCGGCTATGGGTGCAGCTTTGCAAAACATTTTGCCTGATACACACCATTCTCATTGTATATTTCATATGAATAACAATTTTATTAAAAAAATAAAAGCAATCATAGATAAAAATTTTGATGAAAATTATAAACTTTTCTATTATTTTTATAATAGCCTATTCGAAGCCGATTTCGAGCATCATTGGGCACAATTTGTTGAGTTCATTTTTTAAACTAAAGGACTAGGAGTTACAAATTAAATATTAACAATCGCTTCCGTAGACCTAATAAAACACTATATCTAATAAACTAATGTGAAGATAACTTCCGGTTCAGCATGTTATATAAACTACATAAAAAAAAGTAACATCAGCATTATTCACAGAATATCCAGATACTGTATAAGTGGATACAACATACTTTGTTCTATTCTCCCAATTAAAAGTCTGATAATTATCTAATAACAAATCATTCAGTTCATTTTCAAACTAGAGATTCAAAGGTTACAAATAAACTGTTAATATAATCATTTTCATAGTCCTGATCAAACATTAGTATTTATTAATTATCATAAAATTAATCTTCCAAAACCTTGGTTTCACATAAGTTTATTTGGTTCTATAACAAGGTTATTTAGTAACCATTAACAGAGTGAACTTGTTAGAAAATAATTTTATAGTACTATCAATTCTTTTAAACTAACCTTGTAGAGTTAAACGATATTGTTACATGGTGAAGTGATCTGAAGATATGATTTTCCATAGTTTACAGGCTGAATGCTTATATATTACGCTTTTCATGAAAAAAACATGACTATTCTTTGTAAATGAAAGTGCAAGCGAAAAGAAAATTAATCACTGTTCGATCACTTCTATTTGTTTGTTGAGTAAACAATGTAAATACATATTTATCTATGTATTCTGCATTAATTAATTTCTAGGAGTCTGGTTTCTATTTCTATACTGTCGCACTGCATAATATATATTATATATATATTATTAATGTAAATAAGGTGATAATCACCTGCAGTGATTACTAGTTATTTTTTTAAAGTTTTTATAATTAGTTTTACTAATTTAAAATAAAAATATAATATATTTAGTTTTTGTTTAAATTTTTAATTTTATTATAACTATTTAACATAAGCTGAAATATTTAGGCTTTTGGCAATAATTTAGAATTATAATATTTATTTAGAATTTAGAAAGTAATTTATTTTAATATAAGCAAAAACTAAAACTTTTTAACTAATTATAAAAATTTAGACAACCAACTTTACTGAATCTCTAACTTATTAGAGGGAATCCTTCAATTATAGACTAATACTACATACTACTGTATATCAAAATTAACTTTTTTTTACAAAACAAAGTACAAACAAAAATTCAAAAAATAAAACAAAACTAGAAAAATATTTCAATATTAAATTTTAATTTACGTAAACAAATAAAACAAAATAAACAAATAAAAAAAACAAAATAAAACAAAACAAAAATAACATTATTAAATCAGCACAGATTATAAAAATTATATAGTACTATAAATAAACTAAACTCTATACTAGTTATTTATATTTATATCCAGAATATAAAAGTATCAAAAACCATCTGATTTTGAAGTAGAGCTCCAAGGCCAAAATTTTTAGTTACTATCTCAAATAGATTAGCAAGTCTTCTGCAGTATTTTACAACTACAGCTTAGCCCAGTATTGTCACAAGACAGTTGTAAACAATAAGTTTAGATACTTTAGACAATTTTGAACAATTAAGGGTAGAGGATACTATAGATCATTTTTCATATAATATGCATGGCAAATTAATATCTTATATAGATATAAGAATATGTTACTGATAAAAATTT